TATTAAAGTAGAAGTAAGAAAGGAGTTGTGGGGCTAAGAGAATCAAATAGATGACTTAAGAAGATCGGAGAACGAACCAGTTGTTGTTGTTTCATCTTATAGTTAAGGTGACTAAATAGGGACTCGAAGGGTATCCTTGAAAATTTTACTCGAACAAATCAGGACCCAACTAAATCAGTTTAAACTAAGTTTTAGTGGGCTGAAGGGGTCCAAGGATATATTGTAAAGCTGAGGAGGGCTGAGAAGGAAGAATAGGTATTGCAAAAGTAAGGAAGGCTATATCATTATGAAACAGAAGTAAGGTAAGTGGGGAGCAAGGGTATCGTTAAAATAAGTGATGGTTAAGGGAGGGGGTAGCCAAGGGCCGTTTCAAAAAAATTTTAACTCATTACAGAGTGGACAGACTGAACTTACTTTACCTTGTAAAATAATGAGGGTGTCTAGGGAGGGGTAAAGGGATGCTTAGGAGTTATTACATATTGAACCAACTCGAACAACGAAGGAGCATGATGAATTTTACTTTGTTTTGAGTTGGGGAAGCAGGAAGCTCAAGAGTTTTGGAGAGGCCTGGAGCAGGGGGGGGGGATAGCATGGTTAAAATGACCCCCAAAATCATTGTTTAATGCATATTTCAGTCAGAGATCGCTTGTTGCTAAGTAAATACGGTACCTAGCTCGTATGCACGAGGGCGTGAGTTTAAGCCTCGTGGAAAGTGTTTTAGTAGCGATGTTGACTCAGTGGTGAGCTTGCTGGATAGTAACACAATATTTTTCTAGAGGTCATTGAATTTATTCTTGGTAAATACAAATTTAATAAAAAAAACTTTTTTGGAAAAAGTTTCCATGAATTAAGGCTGTTTCAGGGTGAATTTTTGAAGTTATCCCTTAATGTTAATAGTGGATATTTTTCTTACCCCACTGGTCCTTGAATCTAGGTTAAATCGATGCAACGTTATGATTTAAGGTAGCTATTAGCATACCTAATCCTAAGTACAAGTTTTTGTCAGTTAAGATACATTGGTGTTTAATTGAGTCCCTCTTTGTGTATGATTATTTTTTTATCCACAAGCAAGAGTTTTTATTAAATACTAATGTCCCATGATTAGAACTGATATGTCGGTGCTAGTGGAGATGACTTTAAAAACTACACTGTTGTGTTTCCTAATACCATATGGTGATCACTTTTCTGATCTCACACCATAACAAGACAAACACATAAGCTAAAGCTGTCAAAAATCTTATACTCTTCAATTGACACATATTTTCATTCTCAATTTTTGTGTATACGAAAATGTTGTAGATTTTATGTATTTAGAAAAAAGTTTATAGATGATATAGTAGACAATTCACCTACAGAGATAGCGTTACAGTCAAGAGTAAGATTGGGACATCATAAGAATGCGAGCAGGATTCATACAAATGCAACCATGATAAATATTGTTCTGATTTCTTATATTTTATTACTGAACAGAATGACTCGAATAAACATTTACAACTAAATCTTAAGAAATTTATTGTAAAGGCCAGTTATGAAAGATACTTATAAATATTTTTTTTTAATAACTTACATCTAACTCATTTTTAAATTCCATCAGCACATTAAAGAATCCGTGCAATACGTGCTTGAAGCAACTGGCTCAGGTTTACTATCTAGCCACACGGTTTTTAATTGATAATGGTTTAAAGTTAATAAAATAGGTTGTATCAGCATTCTCTATAAGTCCTGAGGTAAGGAAATACTTACTTAATGCAAAATGAATTAATTAATGTTCAGATACGAAGTCACGTAGCTAGGGCTAATGCAATATATTTGTATTGATGTATACATATGTATGTAACCTGCTTTCAGTAACTTTAGTGTTGGTACCCATGGGAATTTCTTTATTACTTCTAACACTACCAAACGAGTGTCAGTTATATAGGAGCATTGATACAGTAGTGCTTTTGGCGGGGCTGTTAATACCCCCTTCCTTGGCCTCTCTCCTTCATATTTGACCCCCTTCACCCCCCCTTCCAAAACAAGGAAAAATTGTTTGTTTCAATGGGAAATTAACCAAATAAAATTTAAGGCAAACTATTAAAAATCGCAGTTGTTTCGAATTTTTTATTATTTAAGTAAGGGACTTAAAAATTTCATTACCTGTGTTGGCGGCAACAGTACAAACTTTATTTGGACACCTCTCAGTTAGAAAGAGGAGAAAGCGCTGTAACTGGCTTGACTTTTTTTACTTTACCTGTTACGAAAGTAGTAAAATTTATTAAGATTACAAAATTAGGCTACAGTGCACTGTTTAAGAATCAGTAGTGTAATCGCAGAAGATAACCCAGTCAACCATGCATCTACGGAAATGAATGATTAAAATTAGATGATTCCTGAAAAAATTAAAAATATTATTTTACTCGATTTAACGTACCTTTATTCGTAGCTGTTGCTTACAATAGGTCTCATCATTTTAGCCGGTATGTGTTTGCATTACTACTTAACTTAACTACCTGTTAATTTTATGTTAGTGTACATATCTTATTTCTAACTTATTCTAACTTATTTAAAACTTAAATTCTATTTATCAGTAAAGCTGTTTCCAGTGTTAAACTTTTGCAGCAATAAATTTCTTAAAGTTATTTCACTTCTTTATATTAAAAAGCATTTTTATTGCTTTTAATCTCCAGTCAGCATGGGCCAGCGTGCATTTACGTAAATCATGCTCGGTCGTAGTAAAGTGGCTACAAGTAAACTCGCAGGTGATTTACCTTCTTTTAGATGCACGTAAATCCATGTAAACAATGTTTTACAGATCAGTGTGAAAAAATTCCGAATGAAGGAAAAAATTGTTGATAGTAGTATAAAAGGTAGTGAACGAATATACCGCCTTTAAAAAGAATATTATTACGCGTATTTTACATAAATATTTTCGAATTTTTCTTGAATCTCGCAAAAACTATAAGCGATAAATATTTTATAACGAAAGTTCATTTACTAGAAATGACTTTAAATACAAAAAATGCATCTTCATTACCTTTGAGTTAATACAGAAAATAGTTTTTTTAAGTCTTTGCATTTTTTAAGACTGTTATNGTTTGAATCAGTAATTCATCCTTCGTCAATTAAAACGCATAAATTAAAAAAATTCTCCTACAGATGTACTATAATAACAATACTTCTGTTCACTTTTGCTTACTTTTTTAAAAATTGATTCCAACATTTTATTAGTGGAATAGGCCTACTAGGAATACCGCTAGAGGGTAAAATTGCAGGAATAATTTATATACTTTTCTAATTCTTTATTTTTGCAAATTTCTTCTTCTCTTTCAAAACTTCGAAGTAATTTCATTCTGGCGTATTTTTAATTAGTATACAAATTTTAGTATTCCTTAATTTTTCCTAAAAAAAAAAAAAAATCGCCGAGATACTTACCGCTAGGTGGTGTGGAAATAGTATATCGATTCATTTTACAATTGAAAAAAAAAAAAAAAATAATTACATTGGCTCAGAATCGAATTGTCTTTAAACAGATTCGAAGTGCGACCAAAAGACATAGTCCACTTGACAATCGTTAGCTATGTTGTAGGGGAATTGAAGAATGTATTTAAATTGCGGGAAGTGGGTGAGGCTTGAGTTAAAGGACGGGGAGAGGGTCTTCTCTACCCTTGCCTACCTGCTTGGAGAGAGTAGAGTTGTTCTGAGCTTGCGTGGCTACCTGGGAGCACCCAAGAAAAGTCTTGGATCTCTGGCATCACTGGTTTAAGGATGAGCTATGAAAATCGCTGAAAATCAGATTTCGTGGATTTTTGTCGTAAATTCGTAATTTTTCAATTAATCTCGATGACTTTTAATTGGTAGCATTAAATTCAACAAATTTTTTGTAAACCGATACAGCTTTGTTTAAGCTGTTAAACCAAACGCCAAGACACGCATTTATGTTTTATCGCAACAATACTGGAAAAAAAGTTTCACAAAACTCTGATGCACGAAAGAGTGAAATAGTAAAAGAGACACTTTTACAACTAACGGAAGTGACATTTTGAGCTTTGGAGTACTATTGCGACTCGTAGGCTTAATATACACGATATTCCGCTTAGGTAAAAAAGTAGGGATATGAACTGATCACTCTGCTTCTGCCTTACGCAGCGGGTCCGATCCTTTACATGAACGTGGCTCTTTAAAGCGTTGTATACATATTTAATATTCAATTAAATTTATGTACACATATACTCCCTTATAACTTTGTATTGTTTTTTATTTCACTCTTGGTTTTAATAAAGCATAGCTATACGTGAGACGGTGACGAGGCTAGTGCAGTATCTTAGCTTTCCCTCACAATTGCTCACTTTCTTGGATCACTTGAGTAAGGAGCCAAACCCCAGGGCATGGAGAACCAGGGTGAATCCTCTAGATAGGGAATCGGTAAATCAGCGGATCTTCGAGGCAATACGAACTGACACTATCCCGAGACATCGAGGAACTATCATGCCCGATTGTGTTTGAAGAGAGTTAAATCTTTTATTTTTTATTAAAAGCCAAAAATTCTATGTCCAATCCAAAATGTCATGTACTACCTGTGAGGGGCAATACGAATCTAACTGTGCACATACATGCTCTCAGTAAGGTACCTCACGCTACATGTTGGGGGCATTACGAACCCAGCTTTCTACCTATGAGTTCCTTGCTTGATTCCGTTTTTCTAATTAAGGTGCCTTCATACTAACCCTTACATAAGTATGATTTATTACGTCACCAAACCACTTTATGTATAATAATAATCAAGAAACTTTTTGACGTTCAGATCAAAATTATTAAAATAAAAAATTTAGAAACAGGCAGAAATTGTATTTGAAAATTATTTACAAAGAAAAACATAATCGCAAAATATGAGGGCACCAAAAGAAAAACACATATAAGAGTTAAAAAATAACTTTGGTCATCACAATGAAAATTACTCTCTCTCTTTTTTTTTTTTTAAAGAAAAAGAAAAATCACTTATTTATTTTTTATCACTTCACTGTCTTGCATCCATGCTTTTTCTTCAGCCATGACTTGAAAAATGTCCTGCTGGGCATACTTGGTGATGACATTCATGTTGTTTGAAATTCGGAGTACCTCTTCGTATTTTTGAATAATATGGACCGTTAGTGGTATCTCGTATCTTGTCATCAAAGACTTATTCAGATCATAACTACATGATTGTTCTGTAACAACTCCTTTAACATTTTAGTGTAATTAGCCACGCTAATCTCTGATGGTGACTAGGAGCTTAGTATTTGTGTATTAGTTTATGTATATACCCATCATGTAATGATGTACAAGCTTTCAACCTTGACCACGACAGCAGCTAGGTAATAATTTTTTGTTCCTTTACTTATGTGTATATACAGTTATTTACAAATTTCGTACCTTATATTGGTTTAATCTATTATTATACTTATATCTACGTCTAAATTGTATGGTACAATAGAACAGCTTATTTCTGGTTATTGGCACTCTTTCTTTTTGTTTTTGGAATATTATTCGATATTTTTTGTTTTCAATTTTTTCATCATTCGAATTGAATTTGGAACTCAAAATTCGTATGCTTCCAACTTTTTTGATCTTGGTAGATATAAAATTTTTTATTTTTCTGTGGGTACTTTTCTCTACTTTAGTTTTTAGTTTTCCATTCCATAGAATTGTTGGATTTTTAATGATAGAAATTAAATTCTTTATTTTAAATGTGATGTTTACTTGATATGACAATCCTTTGACTCAAGGACTTTTAACGTTTGTTTGTGCCAAGTTTTATTTTTGGATTTTCTGTTTTTTTCAGTTTCATAATTTGTCTTTTAGCAACCTCACCTCTAGAGCTATTGCATATTCTATTTTCATTTAGTCTAGTGAGATCCTTATTGAGTTCCTCATCTAACATTTTATATGTTTTTATTTTTTTTATTGACTCAAGGAGAACCAAGTTTTTACTTGACTTTTCACAAGAATTTTTAATATTTTGTAATGTCTCAGCATCATGATACAGAATATTCTGTATATTAACAAATGGTGCACTAAACATTGTTGTTTTTTGAGTTTCAGATTTGAGTCTATCAACATTACTTTTTTCTTGCTTCACCATATTATCATGAGTTTCAACAATTTTATTACACACATTTCGATCTTTAATTTTTGGTTTTATTATATCATTATTCTCGCTAAAAATATCATATTCGCTAAAAGTACCAGTATTGGTACAAGTCTGAATAAACGAATTCTGAGTTATAAAATGATCATTTTTTGTAGTTGTGTTGTTATTTAAAATTGGTATACAATTAACATTACGCATTTGATCAAATTGATAATTCCTTCCTTGATTATTAGATATTCGAGTAAAAAAACTTTTTTTTGATTCTTTCTTCTTCATCAAAGTAAGACAAAAATTGTAATAAATCTTTTATATTATTAATGTTTCTACACATAAATATAAGTTTAATCTCTTTTTCAAAATATTTGCTTATCGCTGATATAAATTCAGAGTTTTGAATACTGATCTCTAAATCTTTTGCTATTGCAAGAATGTACGTGGCATAATATACACAATTTAGTTTTCTTCGGTTATGATAATGGCCACACTCTACTTTCTTCCTAACTCTTTTTTTAAAATTATTGTTCCAAAATCTGTCTTTAAATTTATTTACAAAGACTTCATAACTGTTAATAGAATCTTCTATTAAATAATACCAATTTCGAGCTGCATTTTCAACACATTGATAAAGTAAGAGGCGTAATTCCTTCCACTCAGGTTGTAAAATCTGTAAGTAATTGTTTAAGTCAATTAGGAATCTAATAGGCCAGTCATTATCAGAACCACCGAATGAAAGAAATTTATATAAAAACATATCAGTTAATTATCTCCTTGATATTATTAAATGTATATTGCTATATATTAAATAAAAAAATTTTATAAAACACGTTTTAGAAATGTAATAATCGTTAACAAATTGTTTCCAGTCGTTATTAGTTTCGTTTAAGGTTTGTAAATTAAACAGTAATGAAATTTGAAAAAGTGCTTTAAACCTAGTGATTTTCTGACACCCTATGATTTTATGATAGCTACTAAAAATCTCAACGTTAAATTATTACCAACATAATGCTGATTTAAGTATTAAATTAATGCCAAATTGGTACTGAACCAATGCTGAATCAATGATAACTCAACGTTGATTTCGCTTAAAGGATAGGCCAAAATAAGCCATAAATTATATCTTCGGTTTAACGTTAATTTAGTGTTCGTTTAGCGTTGATTTGGTGGCCATTTAAAATTAAACTTAATTGTAAACCTTAGTAACATGGGAGTATGTCAGTTAGATAAAATAACAAATTCATAAATTTTACTTACCTGCTCAGAAGCATTTTATTCACGTGGCCACAGTAAATAAGACAATTGATGTGACATTTACATTTACCTAAGAACTATGTATACTATGGGTTTATGACACTTATTTTAATCTGGTTACTACTAATATTTTGATACAATAAATAAATTAAATTTTTTGGAACAGTTTTATTTCTAAATTTACAAACTCAAGACACTTGTTTATTCGCTATTCATTTTTTTTATTATACTCATCAGTTTTAGAAAAATTGGGCACTACTCCACCATGAGGTTACCTTTACAAAGAGTTTTTAAAGCAATATTAGACATGTAAATTATTTTTTTAAGTAATTAAATAGATGTTATTATTAAAATGAACAATAAATCGATTGAGGTGTACATTGTTCATAATGAAAAAAACCGTCATATTATATGACTGTAACACAACGAAAACAGATCATGATAATTTGAATAAATTACTATACAAATGTAAAACATTAACTTAAAAAAATTATATTCACTCATTAAAACACAGTTATACTTTGTTTTCAGAGCAAGTTATAGATGAATATATTCTGAAATTACGTATTGGTATGAAATGTTATTATTTTTCAACAAAGATTAGGTAAATGTTAACTTTTTATGATTGTAAGGCTTAGTGAGTAAGAATGTGTGGTTAGAGTACTAACTCATGGTACTTGTATCTTATGTAGATGTACAGTTTAAACAGATCTCTCATCCATAGTTGAGCCTGGGATATTTAGAATGCTGGGGATCCACAATGAGTACCTAGTTTTTTTTTAATTTTATGATGGCAATTGTTGTTAATAAAATTTAGAGCAATATAAGAAATTTTATTTAACTATCATATCCACATGTAATGTTATGCAAATCTTTATAGTTGTACTCAATTTTGAATTGATGACTAGTCAAAGCTGAATGAGTGACGGATCAGCGTTCATTGAACGATAAAATTTACAACAGATTTCAGTGTATCTTTATTTGCAGAAACAATGTTGATTCATCGTTGATTTAGCAATCATTTACTTGTGATTCGTCGTTGATTTAATATTAAAATCATCATTAATTCAGCGTGATTTAACAATAAAATTTTCGATATGGAGCAGTATACTTAGTTCTGGATACCTTGCACTGATCTTTGTATCCACTAAAACTGAAAGCACAAAATAATAGCATTAATAGTAATAGGAATTCACTCTAATCAGTGACGTTTTATTCGTTCTTCCTGAATTTTACAAAAATTATTTGAACATCGGTTAAAAATTCTATATTCTAAGTGATAGTTTCTTCAATTGTAATAGCCATTTATTATGAAACAAGCTTCGGGGATTCTCGTGTAAATGAGGAGCAGGTGATTCCAATTTAATAAATAAATGGATTGAAGAGTTCGAAATATTGCAGTGAAATGCTTCGCCAAAAAGGCGGAGCAGAGGCCCGAACCCGTTAACTAAGGATTCGTGAAACTTTATGCTGACCACTCAGTCACGACCGCTGCCGAGAGTGTCTGTATTCTTATTGCAATTTCAGATGCATTCTATTGTGTCTTCAGTCGTACGTTAATGGGTCGACATACGGGCGCTGGCTTGACTGAACCATGCCATGTCCGTAACATATTATTAATACAAATCTATTTATTTGTTTACAGACATATCTGTATGCTTTATTTGATTTTTTTAGTCAGTTAATAGATGCTCTAAAACTAATACCATTACAGGTCATACCTTTTTTCGTTGAATATTTAAAGTTGGAAGTTTAAAATAAATTAATTTAAATCTCTGCTTTAAGGATCTCATGTACTTTCTATTTGCCTCTGCAATAGTGTGCTTCTTTTTTGTAGGCCTCCATCCATTAGAATGGTTGACAGCTTTGCTAAAGCTTACTCTTCCTGATTACTTCGTTTATTCACCTACATGTTCCATTAACATAATAAAATTTTAAATCAAAGGTATTTGCTTGTTAAAGAGTTATTTGGGCTTGTGACAAAAATTGAGTTGATTATAAACATTCTGTATCCATTGTATACCTTAAAGTATGTATTTGTATCGTGTAAAAAAAATCTGCAAATAAAGGGTTGCTTAGCGCTTGACACCATTGTATTTCCTTTATTTGACATGGGTTCGTATTTTTAAGTGTCAAATTAAAAAAAAAAAACTAAGATAAGTTTTAAAAGCCATTTTCTATTTTAAAAATGGTTCAAACTGATTAATATGATAAAATCACGTCAACTTTAAGTAAAAAAGTGCATTTTACCCTTAAAAAGTTGTATCTTATAATGCAAATACGTTCAGCGCTTACAGGCACATTTACCTCAAATATCACCATCATTTGTTGATACGTCAAAAAAGTTTAACTGAACTTTAGAATTATATGGGGAAATGCTCAAAAGTACATAATATCGTTAAAGTAACATATGGCCGGCAGCCCCTAAAAAACGAACTACTCTCGATAGTTTCAAAATTCAAACAAACTTTATGCGTACACATACATATATATGATAGGTATTATATGTCTCTTTAGTGTACCTTCAATTGTATTCTATTTATAAAATTTTATGTATCATTCAACAAATCAAACTATTTAAAAAATAATCAGGCATTTGTAATACATGACGTAAAGATCTCATTACAAAAATTTTCATTTAAATTGAATTGTTTATTCTTTTTTCCACATTTAGTCCACCATTGTGTTTTGAACAAATGTTACATTGGATTTGTAATCAGTGATCTCAGAAAGTCCTGTTTTACTATTTTTCATTAAAATTTGGCTGATGTAACTCACCTCTCTAAGGAAGAAGAGACTGGAGTGCCATAGCGAAGACGGAAAGGAGAGGGAAGATGATGCTCTCGCTAAAGGCGACAACGACGATTCCCAACTCCTTGCACATGTGTATACGTATATCTATCCATTTTCTTTTTTTTACACCTTTCTTGGAACTCAAGAGTATAGATATAAAATTTGAGAGCCTTAATGTTAGCGTTTCTTTTTTCTCTTTTGAGACCAGACTGTAATTTTCCCTTCTCTCTTATCATGTGGGATATCATATGTGATTCACTAAAACAATACTATCCACATGTTTACATGTACATATATATTTCTCTCAAGAGGGGAGCAAGTTGAATTACAATACGGGATATTTACCAATTAAAACATAGTATAAGACGTAAGTCTTATTTTTTATCTAATAAAAGGCAAAGAAAGATTTTTTGCGCTTCTTTTGTAAGTTCTTTGAGTAATTTTTACAGACGCTACTCAAACTACTCCATCGTCTCTAGGATGCAACTTAGTTACTCGTCCCAAATTCTATGTATTACAAGAAAAATTGTACACCATCAATATTATGATTTATTCATTTTTTAAATTATTAAGATTTTTGGACCGTTTTTGCTTCTTTTATAATTCAGTTAAGTATTCGTTTTTCCACCTTTTTCAAAACCTTTACTTCATCTTTTTCACGCAATCCCATCTTGATAGGTGGTTATCGCAACAAAAAGAAGATTGGACTGGGGCAGAGATTCGATTGATCGACCAATCAAAAAATGTCTAGGCTTTATCGCCATCAGTTTGCTTGGGTCATTAAATAAAGGTCATAATGGCCAGGAATTTACAATCCCTTTAGTTTTGATAGTTAATGAATTCATCTTTTCAAAGGTACATTACTTATTTCCTGAGACTCATTTCATGGCATACTTTCACGGCTATACAGCTGATTTCCACAGTCTTCCGTGGTGCGGTGACAATGATGG